ATCAACAGGGGGGATGCAAATATAAACTGGAATGGCCCATTGTAGATTTATAATTTTATTTTCTCTGTTTGTGTGTGACAGAAAGCGTTGAAGTTGAATTTTATTTGCATTTCAAATCAACAAACTGATATTTTGTATGCTATTATAATCACTCGGGCCGAAATCTGCTGGTTTGATTTTGATAACCTCCCTAATAATCAATATTTGCAGAACATAAACACAAGTAAGTTTATACTTGCCTGTGAAATAATGTAACTGGTTTACACTACTGTGATTGTTTGCTATTAAGCCAATGTGCTGTTTGTTCTTATTTGAAACTTCTTTGATACTTTCAGTTACCAACAAAATTAAAGCGGGGGAGTCGTCACCTGCGCATGTGTCAGATGGCCATAGCGTGTCATTGTTTACAAACAAGCGTCTACCCATGAGCCTTTGCTCTTTTAGTGCGAGTTGTTATCGTCACTTGGGACTCAATTCATTTCCCGCGCGTACACAGGTGACACCCCTTTCGCTTTAAAACCTATGCAAATTATTCAATTAAAATCACCAAAATATGTTTTGTCATTTTTACTGTCAAAATTTATGAGGCATATTTTAGAACCAATTGAAGTCCTTTCATTTTTACCTGACAACATAACTTCAATACTGATGACAATATTCTTGTTATGTTGCAGCCCTGTCATTATTATGGTATTTGGGCAATAATGAATTGAAATAGCGATAACAAAATAGGGCCAAAAGATCACCCACCCAAAAAGTTGCTTGCGGCAAAATCAAGTGAAGATGGTCAGCCATACTCTTTGCATTATATTAACCTAGAAAACTACTGGACAGATGCAAAAGATGAAGATGAAAATATTAACATCCACAGACTCCAAAACAATGATAAGATGATTATGTTTAGATGTTCTAAATCCTAGTATTAAAGTTGGGCTACTCCCCTTAAATACAAAGTGTAGGATCGACTCATCATCTGATGTGACTGCACTTGTGAAATCTATTATCTGTATTTATTTATTTATTTATATAGGCAAGCTGCTGATTATTAATCATCAAATACAATTACAGGTCACAGGAACACCACTTTGCACTGAGTGCACATATAAGACCCACCAACACATGCTATCTGAGGCCAAGACATGAAGGTTATAATTCTAACACTGGCTACTTCAACTTATCAACCCATTGACACGAGTTCACAATTAAACTAAAGATAAATAGATATTATCGAAACAAATCTTTTACACAAATTGACTTTATTATGTTGACTGTTTCTGAGTGACATCTAATATCTAATCTTGTCAATAGTAGATAGAAAAGTGCCACATTCGTCTCATCATATTGCAGTAGATATGGAAATCATGTGATGTGACAGTTCACAATACATATATATAAATTGCTATTTTGGCATGTGATGTGCAGATATTGTGTGTGATGTTTAACCCTTTGAGCTCTAAAGTCTCGCTCTTTTCCACATAAAATATTTCAAATTTTTTTTACTAAAAAACTAGAAGCAATGTCACATTTTATCTGTTCTTCTTTTGTTCCTGTACTACAGTGCGAGAAATTTTCTATATCTGTGGTTGGAGTTGTAACAAATAAAATAATTAGAAGTGAAGGAGGGAGGATAGCTTACCAATAAGATGAGTCCATATGTTACCCGTTTCAGTGTGTACTCGAAAAATAGATTTGAAGCAACGTCTGAACGAAGCGAGTGGTGGTCTATGGTAGTGCTTAAGGAAATCATTATCTTTCAACCAGACAGGCAGATGGTTGAATGATATTACGTTCCAACCTTCCTCCCAAACATGTCGAACAAATTTCTCAACTTTCTCAACAGTTGCAGAGTGGTGAGCAGGGAGTGGCGTGGTTTCGGGAATTTCTGGGTCAGTTTCGTCACTCTGGAGAATTAAAAAAAATACACACTGAATGTTAGCCTACCCATGAAAGTTTACAAGAATAAAATAATTTATACCTCTACAACAGTTACGTGGATGTTATTCAAAAATATGCAAACCAGTTGCTAATAATTTCATAAGCGTACATCGTTGTACCATTACAAGTGCATCTTCAATAGAAGCGCATGTCAACCAACAGTTGCAGGTGTTGAGGACTGGATCATTAAAAATAGACTTGTTCTGACCATAAACATACGTTACTAATTGAGCAAATACGGTAATATACAAGAAGGCAGAAGTGGAACACTAGTGACAGGTACTAAAGGCAGGTTAAAGTTACAACTGGAAAAAAACATTGATGGATTAGCAATAGCACTGCATGTGCAAAAGAAAACAAAAATATAAATAGAATTATGTATTACTTAGAGCAAGACATTCTTTTCGATAACAAATGCATAATACTAGAACTAATGTATTTCCCTAGTAGCTACTACGATTCCTCGGAATATTATTTTCCAAGATGAAGACTTTTCAGGTCGGTATATGTTGTATCAAACGAAAAAAATGTAAAAAACACTGCTGTTCACAAAATAAAATGCTAAACACACAGCCTGATTTGCATACATTAGCTTAACACATGAGCCTTTGTTTTAGTCTTTGAATGTGTGAAGAATCTATGGAGCCTTCCCATATAAGTGTAGTGGCCATGAAATATTTCTTTATATTGCAGAGTAAAAAGTATGTGGATTACCGTGCAGTGAAATTAATAAATTGCAATGCAAAACACAAAAATTACAATAGACATCAAGGCAATGAAATTCCCTACACTTTATTGCAAAACTTCATTTATTCATGTAAAACTGCTTAGATCTTCTACTGACCATGTTTTCAGGCACACCATTCATAGTGGCTGACAAAACTTAATTAAAGTTTGAATGAAATGAAAGCACATGCTAATTAAAAAGAAGAAACAAACACCATATCATCTACATGTGATTTGGAAGCTTAAGCTTTAGACAACACTGCAACATGGGAACGGAATTTGCTATACATGTTTTATTATTGCATGATACAATGCGCTTCTAAAACTTAATATTAAAAAGCTTCCAAGCAGAGAGGGTCTCACCTTAATTGAATGCTCAAGAAAACAAAGACATAAAAATATTCATTTTTATGAAAACTGACAATGATGGGATGTAATTTTGTTGGCAGTAGACAATACTGGATTATATACTCTGGTCTGTGTTATTGAACAATTATATTTCACCAGAAAAATGTTCATTAGGTAGCACTGATTTCTACATTACAAAAAATATGATTATTCACAAATAAATACTGTAAGCTAAATAAATGCATTTTTTTCATTAAAAAACATTTACTTAAGAAATAGCATTGTGAATCTGTTGTTGGATGTGAATGCAGAATGTTTAGTCTATTGAACAGTGATGACAGTTGATGATGGCAGTGTGTTTACGAATATAATACATAGCGTTTGATCACCAGACCATAATTCTATTTTCTCATGGCTGCTATTGTAGTCCATACATGTGCAACACAAAAATGTGTATGCACACAGGGTGCATACACATACACAATGAAGGCAGAGAACACACACAATACACTGTACATTGACAATTCAAACACTGAAAATTGGGAAAAAGGAATTGCACTCTTTTTTGCAGTGCTTCAATACACAAAATGTTGTAACCCCATTCTTGATGTTTTTAGTCATTATGAAAGTCATTCACATGTAAACTAAATTACCAGGTATTATAATATGATGTGGATTTAGACAGATAAATACGGCTTGTGACATTCAAATCAAATAGTTTTAGCAGATAAATACAATGCACAACTTTAAAATGTGATAAAGTTTGACTCTAGCAAACATAATACATGTGTAAACATTTGAAAATGATTCAAGTAGTTTTTCAGACAAAATACACTGATTTCTTTATTATATAGAGTTGATGAACATCAATTTCAGGACTTGAACTTCGGGGTTGAGAGGACACATATTTGCAAGGCCAAAATTGATAAAATTGGCTTAGCCTATAGGAATAGTACCAACAAAAATCAGTATTTTATAAGGGCAACAAGGCAAACTCAACAAATTACATTTGATGTCTCTGTAAAGTTCAAGATCTGTCATTTGTGAAGGTGACCTCCACTGTAGTTGATTTTACACTACAGTTAGTATGTACCGGTATATTCATTCTAAAAGATCTCTTTCTCCATGTCTGTACATGTAGGGCACGAGGGAATTCTAAAACATATTCATCATAAACTTATCTATCTTAGAAATGTGCTTCCATGTATAGCACATAAATGATAAGAACAGATTTCAGGCATTTTATTATTTATATTCTTGTAAAAATCCCTATGGTAATAGCTTTAGCACAAATATAGATCTATACACTTTGGAAGTAAATTGTGATATTTCAGATATTCCAAGAACACATAGCGAGCAAATATGATGGAAAATATTACTATATCACAACCAGATTGCTTACTAGCAAACTGCAACAATATGCAAGAAGTTTAACTACATTTTGTAATAGTAAATTTTAACAGATTAGTTATTGAGGATGTCAACTTATTACGCCGGGACAGTGCATGGAGCGGGTGTCAAGTGTACACCCAGGAGTTTTTATGTGAGACACCTTCTATTGCCTATGTAATAACATTAGACAAACTTTTGAAACCGCCATATACATTTATTAATAAATAAGTCTGTGACCCTCTTTATTATATTTTTTTAGATATAGTTACGGACACAACAGAATTTTTCATAATTTAAACGACCATGTTTTAATTTTCCTACTAGAGTCCCATGTATTAATATACACTTCCATTCACCACGATGTAGCCACTTGTTTATTTTTAACATAGCTATAGTCACAATACATTCATGAACATCAGCAATTTCCTAGAACTTTTATGAAACTGTCTGTATCGCTTTTAATATCGACGTTAGAGTTTAAATTTTGTGAAAAAAAAATCAGACAATGTGAGAGGTGATTAAAAAATAATAATATCAACATAGGAAACATTTAAAAGGAGTTAAAACAGAAGGCAGCAATTCTTTAGATTAAGTATGGCTTACTTTTGATTTAGTAATAGAAGGGGTGATATCAGTGGTAGAAACAACAGCAGATGGAACACAAGACTCAGTTTGTGGTATTTTGCACACAGTGGGCACCTGTTCATCGCTGTCTTCTTGTCGTTTTTCCTTTATCATCAGATCAATTTCTTCAGTGTCTTCATCGTCTATTCGGATGATTTTCTTCTCACCCTTCTCAAAAGAGATAATGGTCATCTGCATGTTGGCTGAGGGTGATGTTCTTTTAGCTACGATACTACCACCACAAGTTTCGTTGGAATTCGGACTAACGTGTCGTCGTTGACGAATGCATTGTGAATCCAGATTGTTTTCCAGCTTCATTATGGAAGGGAAAAAATAATAACATTTACAACTTTGAATTTGACTACTCTGTTCTGCTTCTTTATTATCACTACTATTACTACCAGCTTTTTATGCTGTTAAGGTAGCTAACAACACGCGTTCCCATATATCGTACCATGCTATTTTTAGATTTGACCTTTGCACCTTGCGTACCGGATGTGAACTTTGGTCGAACGAAACCGGCAATTACTCATTATGGCAAATAATTGTGTTACTTTTAGACGTATATAAACAGATAAAAACAGTATATGTAATTTATTGGCGACACCAACACGGTTTGATCAAAAACATAGAAGCCGCATTTTTTTTCCAAAATGGTTGCGCAGTCAATAACAAAAAGAACCGGGTACAAACGTAACGTTCACATTGACACAGCATACGTCGGAGTTTTTAACTACATAACAAATACAAAATCATAACTACGTCAAGATAAAAAGAGTATTAATGTCGTAAATTTGGTAATCTGCGAAATTAACTAACGCCTCGACGTCTACCGAAATATTTTGTAAACACTGTTGACCGAAATAAACCGGATTGGAGAAAACTCAAGTTATGACGATGTCACTAAAAACAAAGCATTATATCGTCAAATTTTATACAAATCACAAGTGAATTTCGTTTCAACTATAACAGTTTTTTTGTAATATCTTTTCGTGTCATTATTTTAAATTACTCACCTTAAAATCAAGAAAAATGAAGTAAAATACCGGTTTTACTGACACCGTATCTTCGTGGACAATGAGTGGTCGCCTTCGTAAAATCGGTACCTCGGCCAATCAGCGTACCGCTCTCTTGTGGTTACGGAAGTGTTCGATTGAACCATTCTGCCGAAAGGGGTGTTTGAAATTCCTTCGCATGGACTTCCTAAACTTAGGGTATTGTAATGTAGAATACTTTATTTTCGCTTGGAATTTATTTTCGCTGAAGGGATGATTCCGTGAAAATAAAATCCAGCGAATAGACTTTTTTTCCTATATTTCACATTAAACTCATCAAAAAATCAGTGAAAATTAATTCCATACAAAACGCCAAATAAGCCTTTCAGTGAAAATTAATTCCAGCGAAAATAAACTAAGTATTCCACAGTATGTTGGTTTGGCCTCAGTTAAATTAAATTAAATTAAATTAAATTAAATTAAATTAAATTAAATTAAATTAAATTAAATTAAATTAAATTAAATTAAATTAAATTAAATTAAAAAGAATAATTACGCATAACAAATCGTTATTTTCCCCGCCGAAGTATTTCCCAAGTAACTAGTGAAAGTCAAAATATGACACACTATCTTAAACAAAGTCTATGAAAACTCCACGCCCCTACTGGTAGTATATCTATTTAACATCACACATACACAAGACTTTGATCATTGGACATGGCATTTAAATTGTTACAGTAACATTGAATTTGATATAATACGTGAAAACCTAGTTAGAATGTCAACTACAAGTAATTATTTATATGAGTTTTGAAAAATAAACTTATTCATCAAATCTATTGAAATAATGGTATTAGTAATTTGAAATGACAGACTGCTATCGCCAAAGCAGCAACATTTGCAGCTATTGCAGTCTGTAGAGTTGATTATATCGTTGTTATGTGCATGTCACGGAATTGTTAAACGATTCGAACAAGGTGAAATCAAACGCGCCCTTCGACTAAATGCGCGCAGTATGTTTGAGAGTGAACTACTAACCAGCTCTATGCTACAGACCAACGAATGTGTCTTGCTAACGTGTGAGATTACTTCAGTACAGACATATTGTTTATTTTTTGGGATAAGTTTTCTATTTCCATTTAATTATCATGAACGCAGACATTTTAAACTATCTGTCGTAGACGAAATATTGATATTTAAATTTAAAAGCCTAAAAAGGGTATGGGTAACCATGCTCCAATTCGAGTGCCTACCCGAAGCATTTATCTATCAAGCGAGGTAAACGAGGTAATATTCAATCCTTGTAATAATTGAGCTCTATGCAGTCTATTATGACTATATTAATACAAATTCATTCGATATCAGGTTGATAATTAAATACCACACCTTTCCGTCAAATTAGCTGTGTAGATGTTTTTTTTCAGCTGAGTTTGAGTTTCTGTTTTTCTTTTGTCGTTCATTTTTATCTGGAATCTGGTGTTGCGGTCGCTCATACTCATTTATCATAATCATGAAAAGGGCGCCACCGTCATTGTCGAGCGGATAATCATTCGTTTAATACCCAGGCAGTTATGTTTTATGAGTGTCACTTCGATTATTTATTTATTATTTACACGGATTGTAAACCACCTTTCAAAATGCATTAAATATATTGTGTATGGACACTTATTCTCTCTTAAATATACCTTAGATGCAAATGGATGTTGAGATATCGTTGAAAGCGGGAGATCAACGGATCAACTGGTCAACGAGACATGTTTTTGCCTCTCAAATCTTCCGTCATAACTTTTTTCACCGGCCATCGCTCTCGGCGAGATTTCAGCGGCCATATGCTCTTAAAGTTAAGGTATAAGTCTACTCAAGTAAATTAAAAAACCCAGAATTTATTCATTTTGCAATAAATTGTACGTCAAGGCAATATAAGGATATTGACCTAATAAAAGTTGGGGTTTCATCAGTCTTTTCTTTCGAGAAATTGATGGTTGTATTTTAGTGGAAAGTCGCCATTTTGATACTATTATAACACTTTTACCACAGGTTCCTATGGC